AAGTACTATAGTTTTTGGACATATACTCAGCATACTTTGGAGACTTGTTTAAGAAGACTTTTCTCACTTCAATGTCACAAAAACATTCTATGTTTTCTTCTCATATATAATTTCCTGTTTCAGTCCATGCTGATCCTGGGATTATAATTTCTGGACTTCCCTGAACGAGTGAATTAAACAGTCTCTTGTGCATTTGCTCAATGCACTTGTCTATAAGGTCCCTGGAGCAGATCCAGAACACAGAAAACGTTGATAGAGAGTTTATCAGTTAGTGAGGGAAATGAAGGGCTAAATGATATTATTTTTACACTAAGTGAATTAAGAGAGCTGAATAGGTGCAGGCAGAGGAAAGAATGGATGAGGAAGGCTTTGTTGAGGAGGTGGGACTTGAGCTGTGCTTTGAGGGAAGGGGGAATTGCAGAAGCAAACAGGGAGGGGAGGGGAGGGCATCCCATGAGAGGGGGGTTGTAACTGGGCGAGTGGAGTGTAGAGGTGCGGTGGGAGGGCAGGGTGGAACAGTGAGGAGACTTTTCTGAAGGAAGTAGAAGACAAGTATTAGTGAAGATAAGCAGAAGCACAGGGATTTGATATGATATATAACAGATATTCAACATCAGTGTGTGGGGGCAAAGTGGGGGTGGCAACACTTTGACATCAGTGTATGTGATATGATTTAAAGAGTGCAAGCAAGCTGGAAAAAGGGAGTGGGAGATCAGGGAGACAAGCAGGATCAACAGGCCTTGCTCAGCAGGATGAGTACCACTCTTAGATCAGGTAGTTGGGGTTAAAGTGCAAGGTCTTGGACATTGTGAGGGAAGAAATCAAGGCAGCTGTGTGTAACATAGAAATGAAGCACAGAGTGGGCTCCCATGTCTCAGACCTGGGGTTTTGAAGAAGGGGAACCCTCGTGGTGTGCTGAAGCAGGGCTTTGAAAGAAGTTGCATGAGTGCAGTCCTAGTAAATGTGGCCCCAGTGCACAGTAACTTACACTTAGCAAGAGCTTGACAAATGTTTAATGAAGAAACAAACATGTGGACTTGGAGTAATTATCGAACACTCCAAAGGAAACATCTCTGGATGGCTGGAATACAACCCAAGGGATGGAAATTGATGTTGTCCCACCCCATCCCCCACTTCAGCACCCACTGGGCAACGCCAGAAAAAATCGGGAAAGATGACAGTGAAGGAACAATCAGAGAGGTAGGAAAAGAAGGAAAACTAGTATCTCAGAATCTTAGAATTTGGAGAAGTTTGGTGGCATCACCAAATGCCACAGAAATCACTTTGTGGTCACTGGGTCATTGATAGGTTTTTGGAGAGCAGGGCACAAGACACAGAGTTTAATGGTATCTGTTGAAGAGGGAGGGTATGGGGGCACTGGCATGAGGCATTAGAGCGCATCAGGAAGTGTCTGTCCAGAGCTGAGAGCAGACCCACTCTGGTGGGCACAGCGGGGGAGGAAGACTCACAGGATGCCGACTCAGCCTAGAATGAGACAGCCTGAGTGTTGGAACTGAGATCATAGGAGACTGGGAATTAACTGGATTTTTGGAAACCAAGAAAAAATGTTTAAATATCCTTTGAAAGAACCTCAAGGTCTTCCTGTCAATTTGCATAGACTTAAGGGTTGTGTCTCAATTACCTTTTAAATGGGAAAAGCCACGTGCTGCCATTAAACAATTTTAAAAAGGATAGTTAGTGAGCCACAAGCTATTGAGATGGACTATTAAGGTTATTTCAGAATTATTTTATTTGGCTTTCATGAACAATTTACCACACTCCTGCCCTGTGCCTTGAGTGGTGCTCCCCTTGCACCCCCAGGGTTCACTCAGCCTGGCACTGTGATGTGATAATCAAGGAGGTCTGAGACAGGCGGGGTCACCATTCTCTCCATGCAGCTACCAAATGTCCCATTCAAGTGACCTGGGTCCTGGGAAGAGGTTAGATCATGCTGGGAAGACAGCAGCTTCACCACCACATCGGGTAACCGTGTGATTAGCTCACCTGCAAGATCTGGCACATAGTGTTTGTAAGGTTTTTAGTTGGGTTTCAAGTAAAAATCAGAAGACAGCTGTGCTCCTTTGAAAGGAGTAGTGGAGTCCTAGGAAGGCAAATCAGTCAATTTCTAAGGCATCGAGGTGCTCAGCCATGCAACTTGAGTAGGATAAAGCACTGAGGTTCAGTCATCTTTAAACTCATTGACTTATTGTAACTTTTGCAGTTTCCTAAAGGCTTTTTCTTTAATGGACCATCAGAATGAGTCATGGGGTCATGCTGGAATTTTTCTGTAGCCTGATTACAGGCTTCTTCATGTTAGATATAAGAGGGCTCCGAATTCTAAATCTGCATTCTCCCTGGCAACCCAACATAGGATGGATGTGGTGTTCTGTTCACTTGAAAGCTGTCCCAGCTTTGTCAGAAAGAGCAGGCCCTGTGGGAAGACTGACAGTATGGTGCACAAAGCTTGTCCTGTCCCAGGGCCCTAGCAATACTGAGGTATTGTTAAAGATTCAAATTGGCAGAGAGTTTTGCTTAGCAAGTATATGCATTGCTCAGGTCTAAATGCGTGTCTATATGTGGCACTGGTAGGAATACAAGAATGGTGTATGTTTAATAAAACCCACAGGCTTTCTTTTTCTGATTCTTTGAAGTCCTTTAAACTATCTGAAGGTCCAAGTGCCACTGGATTTGTCCAAGAAATATTAAAATACAAAGAGAGGTCTGGATAGGGCTTCCTGGGTCAAGGCCCTTTGGAATAAAGTGTAACTACAAACTCACCAATATGTGACCAGGTGGCGTGCCATGGTGGTTTGGTGGCCTGAGAATTTGAATTAGACTGAGAAAAGGGAAGTGGAAGGGCCTTTCAAACTAGAAACCATAGAAAGTCCTTGAAACTAACTACTCACAGGTCTCTTAAAAAATTCACTGACATGGAAAAATGTTCATTCCCTAACTATCTATAGACATTTCTGGAGGACGCCAACCACTATCCCATCACTGCCCCTCATCCTCTTAATTTTCACTGCTTTGGAGAATCTAGGATCTTGAAAATTCCTGAAACAAATAATCTGATCACTTTTATTTGCTGTAAAAAATTTTTTTCAAAGACTATACACTAGGACAAAGTAGCTAATTTAAAGCATGTCATTTTGGAAGAACTTGTTAAATTCCTCTAGAAATGTTACAGGTGTGAGCTAAACTTATGGGTGGGCCCGGCCGGGCGTGGCTCAGTGGTTAAACGTCGACCTAGGATCCAGGCGATCAGGGTTCGATTCCCGGTCAGGGCACATGCCCGGGTTGTGGGCTGCAGCTGATCAATGACTCTCTCATCATTGATGTTACTATCTCTCTCTCTCCTTCTCCTTTCCTCTCTCTGAAATCAATAAAGATATATTTAAAAAGCAAAACAAAAAACTTATGGGTGGAGCTACATCCTGCCAAGCTGTACACTTTGGGAGCCACTATGGTGGGGAACATGGGAGGAATTTCAGAGGAACTGCTCTAGGAGAAGCAAAAATTATCTTTGTAGAACATCAGGTGCATTTATTTTAAGAACTAGTTTTTCAGTCTTAGCTTTCAAGCTCTTTCGTGTACTCTCAATGTCCGGAATGGCTTTCTACTATACATCTTACAGTGCTTCATGTTATTTGCTGAATTATCAGTTATGCCGCTGGGCAGGGTATGTTATTTTCTTGTACTAGATTAACATTCATGATGACCCAGCTTTCCTGTAAATTAGCCCTTGGAAAAATCTTGGGTCAATAATTGCTATTTCCCTATTAACACAAACATCAAAGTTGGTAATCCACCAGGAGACTTCAAACCCTGAATCAGAAATGCATACCAAAATTAAAGGTATAACAATGTGCATTCTCGATCAGCTTCCATTATATATAGAATTATACTGGCAGGAAAGAGTCTCAATGAAATAAAAGGTTTTTGCTTTAAGAATTCTTTTCCATAAACAATGGACCATCTGATCTATTCCATCTGATCTGTTTTTCTTTTTATGTGCCTACAAATATAAACATGTCAAAAAGAAAAGTGACCCAAAAATGAGGCTGGTGTGAGAAGAAATTGCTGATTATGAAGGTCGTCAGCTATTCTGTGATACACAGACTGGGGGCCACAGCTGCCACCTCTGCGGAGCCTTCGTCCTCAGCTGTTATTTGTGCTGTAGTGATTGTGGGGCAGCAGGGACCGCCGAGTGACCAGCAATCACTGGAATGAAGGGGTTGGGGAAGGGAGGGTGCTGTGGCGCACAACCAAGAGGAACAAGCAGATTTCTGCACAAATAACAACTCCAACATAAATATTTCAAGTAGTGCATCTGACTGAGACCAGCTTTCCAAAACAAATGACTCATCAGAAGGAATTGGGGTAATTGCTGGAGTGGACCAAAGGTTTATTTGGAATGACACAGCACTGAAAACATTATCATTACAGATAATCTGTAGGTACGACATACATCATCTATCTTATTTTAGGACAATCTCTGAAGATGAGTTGCATAAATATAAGGAGGTGGAAATATAGAGGAGCTTATTTTTAAGTTTTCTTTTGGGGTGGGTATATATGCCCCATCATCTAGTCAATCTCTTAAAGGTAGGAGTTAAGAAGTTCGCTGCTCATCCCAATCAGCCTGCCTCAAGCCACAGCAGCTGGACATCTAGAGAATCAGGCTCTGCTTTCTCCAAAGGGACAGCAGCTCTGACATGCTATTTGTTATCACACCCTGAAAAATGCACATTACAAACACAGATACTGTCAACTGTTTTGGCAATGGGACGGCTGGTTTTGTTCTGAGGCAAAACTGCGACTGCAACGCCAGACAGAGTAAGAGCAATGCATGTATCAATGACACTTGAGAGGCAAAGGGCTACAATGGAAAGAAAGCAACTATGTATATGTCATTTTGTGCATACACATAGATCCAGGAGTGATGGGAACTAGTTCCTGGGACTGTGTCCAAATATGTGTGTATATATATATANAGAGAGAGAGAGATTGGAAAAGAACACTGAAAACTTTTGCAGCAATATAGTTTCAAACACAGTAAACTTGAAAGAGAGTGAGAGAGCACATGAGTGCATGTGCTCACACCTGCACTGGGGAATAAAATAATCTTGTATTACAGGATAGTTCATCACGTCTTCTGCAGGGAAGCCACTCAATACCACACATTTGGTGCAGAAAAGTTAAGGTTCTGGTCTGGAGAAAGCTACTTTAGACTTGGTGGGAGGGGATCAAGTACAAGAGTCTCCACAGCTTGGACAAAGCATAAATAAACTTGTTCTTAATAACATGGGAGCCAGTGAGGACTTTCTCCTTCATTCACTTTTTTTCTTTCTTATACTTTTTTGAACACATGCTCCATTGATATATCCTTCCAAGCTTTATCTGGCATCAGTCTGTATATCAGTAAGAGTGTAATAGAAAAAGTAAATTCTTCAGGTTTTCATGAAGAATGAAAACCTCAAAACCAGGCTCTTTCTATAATACTTTTGGTCCTAATCCAGGCGCTGGGTGAAGTTCTCCGGAAAGAGGCCTTTGTAGGTGGCAAGATCTCTGTACTGGAGCCAGTCTGATTCCTTCACTCCTACCAGCCAGCCTGCATCCTGAAAGACAAAGACAGGGCTTTCAATTCAACCACTGGGAAAATATACACTGCCAACAATTTAATGAAATAGTTTGTTTAATTAGTGTTGTGGCTCTGCATCAAGAGGTTACAGTTCGTGTTAACTGCTGTGCTGAGATCAGTGGGAGGGCTAACTAAAGGTTAATATTAATACTATAATCTTGTATAAACTATAGCTAATTGATGGTAACTGGATTATTACATGAGTTGTTAATGAAAAGGATTAGAATTATAGTAGGCACAAAGAGAGGAACGCCATGTGAAAGTATGTCATGCCCACAATGTTTCCTGTCCTATGGGTCACAGTGAAAAAAGGCTTGAGGACCCCTGGGTTGGAATCTAGTGCTGACAAGGCCATAGAAGGTTTTGTATTTCATCCTGAACCACGTGCTAATAAGAAACAACTGTCGTTCTCTCCCCTAGCTCGCATCACGCAATCCAAATAAACCACCACAGACCAGGCTTATCAAATAATAATGGCTAGATATGATACCTGATATTACTGTTGTGTTTGTTGCTGCTGTTCTAGTATCTAAATTTTAAAGTTTATATGAAGTACAAAGCAGTAGGCTGTCATGATATTCTTGTTGCAAACAAATTCTTTTTTTTTTTTTTTAAATATATATCTTTATTGATTTCAGAGAGAGGGAAGGAGAGGGAGAGAGAGAGACAGAAACATCAATGATGAGAGAGTCATTGATCGAGCCCGCAACCCGGGCATGTGCCCTGACCGGGAATCGAACCCCGACCGCCTGGATCCCAGGTCGATGCTCAACCACTGAGCCACGCCCGGCCGGGCCATTCATATATTCTTTACAAATTGTTCCTTACAAACATTTGTCTATTTTGTGGAAGTGCCATCATAGAACTATAGATGTTCAGTCAAAGAAAGGTTAAATAACCCATTGTATGTGGTCCCACAGCATGGGAGACGGTGTGTAAAACTGAGAAATGGAGGCTGCCGTCTACCCTTGGCCTATGGAAGATAAGTAGAGCTTAGATGGAAAAAGCCAAGTTGAAGGAACAATATGAAACATACAGACCTTAGGAAGCAAAGCTAGTGGGGAATGACTATCTTTATTATGTTAACGAATACACTAAAGAGATCCCTCTTAAAATGAGGGATAGCCAGATTTAATCTGAACCAATTCTCAATGAGGTTCAAGTACATCAGATAAATGAGGACTCAAAAATTAAATAACGAAGCTGAATACATTCCCAGGTGATATAATCTGACACTATAAATTGATGCTGCTATATAGACAAGAAATATAAGCATTTAGACAGGTCAATTTTTGAAGGCAGAAAAAATAACAGTGAGAAAAAGATGACAGTAAAATAACTGATAACATCCTTGCTGATGACAAAAAGTATTCTCTTTAAAATCATGATATTATATGTGTGAAGGACAAAGTTATACTTAAAAGGTGATAATGAAATATTTTCTTCTTATTTTACTTTTAATTAAATTTATTGGGGTGGTATTGGTTAATAAGATTATATAGCTTTAACGTGTACATTTCTATGATATAAAATATTTTCTAAACCACTAGGAAGCATATAAAAGGCCACATTTTCCCTGCAAGTGTCTATATTTTACTGAGTGAAAAATCTAATGGCACCAAGTAGAGCCATGAATTTTAAAATTGTTTCAATAAAGAAAAAAAGTAAAGGACTGGCACAAACCTATAATCAAGATATAGTTCAAAATGTCAATCTTGAAATAAAATTTATATAGTAAAGTGAAGACTATTATTAGCCAGTACAAATCTTTAGCTGAGGCAAATATAGAAAATTAAATTTAACTCTTTAAAATATGTGGTAGACTAAGAATATCCAGTTTTGGTAATGGTGAAATGGCTTGTAGCAGACAAATGCTTCTGCACAGAGCAATTATGAGCACTAGAATAACTACGTATTTATATACACTTAATATACATATGTATAGATATATGTAATTATTCTTATATACAAATGACTGTTACAAAATATATCATATAAAATAAACTTATATAATGGGCTTGTTATAAGTAAAGGCATTGTACATATATAACAACTATTTGAAGGCACTGAGAGTAACCAAAAGCAGGCAGAAACTGGAGAATCTTTAATTCTTGAAAGTAGGGTGCTGTATGAGTGAGATCTGTGCTCGTACTGCCTTCCCCCTGAGGATTCTCCTCAGCCTGTGTGATGCAGGGCATTCAGGGGATAGAGCTGAGGACTGCCAGAGCAGCTATACTTTTATGGGGGATATCTTTTTTTTTTAAATATTATTTTATTGATTTCAGAGAGGGGGAGAGATAGAAACATCAATGATGAGAGAGAACCATTGATCGGCTGCCTCCTGCATGCCCCCTACTGGGGACTGAGCCCCCAACCCAGGAATTGACCCCAAATTGAACCTCGATCTCCTGGTTCATGGGTTGATGCACAACCACTGAGCAACACTGTCTGGGCTATGAGGGATATCTTGAAAAGAAGATACAGAAAAAGTCCCCAAATATGCAGAGAAGCTTCCCTGAAGTCCTGAATTGCTCCCAAGCTGTGAATCCATAAGGAGGATCCCCAAGGAGCCTTGGGAAAGCAGGAAGGCTGAAAAAGATGAGTAGAGATTCAAGCCAGCAGAGGGGAGGCAGAGTTTAGAGTTCAAATCCCATCAAGTTAGGGAGCTTGATAAACCTGTCAGGGTTTCTATTGAAATTCCAGATGGGGTATATCTTAGAAGTAGACAATGGCCCAGGCCTAAGATTTTTATCCTAAGAGTAAGGCAAAACTGAAACAGACCTACTCTAACAAAGTGTAAGACAAACTTCCATGGATTCAAGGTAATTATCCAGTAGTCTGAATGCTTGCTAGAAGAAATAATCTTCAGAGTTAGAAAACAGAATCTAGACTCTATAATGTATTACCCACTGTGTCCAGACCAATTAAAAAAAATTCTAGAGGTGAGGAAAAACAGGAAAATGTGACCAAATGATAAAAGGCAATCAATAGAAATGTGTTCTAGGATGGGCTAGCTTTTGGAATTAGCAGTAAGAAATTTAAAACAGTCATTATAAATACAGTCATGTACCTAAATTAAAAGATGGTAATAATGAGAATAGATACGAAATCTCAGTAAAGAAATGAAAATGATATAAGAGAACAACATAGATATTATAGAGCTATGTAGATAAAATCCTAACTGAAAAAGTCACAGGATAACTGTAGCAACAAATTCAAAGTAGTAAAAGAAAAGGTCACTGTACTATCCAACCAGAGTACCAGAGAGTAGTAAATATTGAACAAAAAAGAACATTCTTAAACATCAAAAAGTCCAAAATATGTATAATTGTTGACAGAGAAAATGAGAAGAAAGAAAAATGAAAAAAGAAAAAAACAGCTGAAAGTCTTTCAAATGTAATGAAAAAAATCTGGGTACAAGACTAAAGAGTTCAGGGACTGACCTCAAGCATGAAAACTATGAAAAAAACAAGACCTAAGCACATTATAGTTGAAATGATTAAAACATGATACTGAGAATTTCTTAAAATCAGTGAAAAACCTCACAGTATTAGCTATTATATAAACAGTAGAGACTGGAAAAAATTGAAACAATATTTTTAAAGAGTTGAAGAAAAGAAAGTTAACTCAGAATTTTTTCTCTAGGGAAAATACATTTTAAAATGAAGATGAATAAAATTTTCAGATAAACAAAAGCTGAGAGGAATTATTGACAGCAGATCGCCACCTTCAGTTTAGAATGGGGTTTTTGAGATAACCAGATGATTTTGCCTGATCTGATATTGGTAATTTATGCTTTGTCATTTTTGTTTGTTTAAAGAGTATTTAGAGGGTTTTAACAGTTTCACTAATTTCTTCAGAGAACATTTGGCTTTACTGATTTTTTCTACAGTGTGTCTTTTTATTGAATCCATTTGTGAATTCATTTTTGTTATTTCTTTTCACCTATGTATTTTGTATTTAATTTGATCTCTTTTTATTTTCTTAGGCTGAAAACTTAGAAATTAATGATCACTATGAAATATTTATTCAACTTATTATGGTTTCTTTTATCCATGGATTATTTAGAAATGTATTTTTTTATTTTTAAATATTTGGAGCTCTTAGAGATTTATTTCAATTATTATTAATTTGTAATTTAAGTTTATTGTGGTAGAGACTTGTTTGTTCGACCCAGAACCTTACCTTTCTTGGTAAGAGTATTATCAAGAGAAAAAAAACATGGGGCATGTAAGCCTTAACCTCAAACATAGTGACTTTATTATATGGGGGAAGGCTCATATGTCTCTTTGAGACATTATGGAAGTTAGAGCTTTTCTCCAGAAAAACACATTAATAGACACATTTACACATTTTCCATGCCATTTCAGGGATTCACAAATCTTATGAAGAAGAGCAATGTGGAGTCCTCAGTTCCTTAACATCAGACCATTATGCTTGGAGGTGACTTTTATATCCCTGGGGGTGAATTTTTTAAAAGAACTTTTTAGAATTGAGACATAATTTAAACATTATGCAATGCAAAAATTGTTAAGTGAACAGTTCAGCTAAGTTTTGACAAATGCATACACATGTGTAACCCATGCCCTTATCAAAATATAAAACATTTCTATTCCCCCGGACAGTCTCTCCTGTCTCCCCTTGTCAAAATCCACACCTCTAGAGGCAACTACTTCTGAAGGGAGACTTTTAGTGCACATGAATAGTGTCTGCATTTCCTGAAGACTGGAGTTTCAGAGACAACATTCCTAGAAAGTAGATACATAATAAGAAATGGTTATCTATTTGTACAAAAAATAAACAATGTAATAGCATCCCAAACCTAAAATTTGTGATGTACTGTGGTCATAAGCCCTTAAATCCTTTTCAGAACTTCCTTGCAGCATCTCAGAAAATGAGTCTTCAGGAAGTCACTGTGCCCAACTGACCCTTAAGAAAAAACAAATACAGCTTGTAGTACTTTCCAATATCATCCTTTACCTGGTCAGCTTCTGAATCCGAGGGGATCACCAGCACCACGTCACCCCTTTGTAAGGTAAGTTCATCAGAATTTGCTGCCTCGAAATCGTGCAATGCTTCCACCTGCAAGATTGTAAAAGAACTGATTAATGTTAGGAAGAAAAATAGAGGTCGAGTCATACTCTTCCAGTCAGATGATCCGCTGGCACTCTTGGAAGCATCTTTAAGCTAGATAAAAATGAAGGCCCGTATCACACCCCAAGGGAGGAGAAGGCCTCCGAAGGCAGAATGGAAATCCTATTCTGTTTACTTAAAACATTCTATTCTTACAGACAGATACCAAGGCCACTTGGATGCATATTTAGTAACACAATACCTTCTGCTAGAGGTAAAATGTTGTGCATTAATTAAAGTTTAATTCATCATATTTTTGTTGGAGATTTGCATTTAATTATCACTGATGCTTTATTATTGTAACTTTTTTGACATGAATTAAAAATGCATAATGGAACGTTCCTCTAACTATAGCTTCTGTCCTATTGGAAAAACCATCACTTTCATGTTATAATGAAATCACTATTTAATCAAACCCTGTGTTCAATGTCTATGTTAAATTTCCTTCTTTCCCTGCCCTACGTTTTAAACATAACAACCTGTTTCTAGTTCCCTTTTATGGAAAGATTTCTTTAAAATTTGGTTATAGGAAAATTTTAAAAAGTAGACAGAACATCCCAGCTGGCATGGCTCAGTAGTTGAGTGTTGACCCATAAAACAGGAGGTCAGGGCACATGCCCAGGTTTGGGGGCTCAATCCCCAGTAGGGGGCGTGCAGGAGGCAGCCAATCAACGATTCTCTCTCATCATTGATGTTTCTCTTTCTCACTCTCCCTTCCTCTCTCTGAAATCAATGAAAACATATTTTTTTTTAAAAAAACTAGCAGCTTGAATAACTATCTATAATCACACCCAGGTTTATTTCTCCCATGTCTCTCCCCTGAACCCCACTCATGAGATTAAATAATCACCTTTTAAAATTTGCTGTTTGCATGTAGAATCATAAAATGTCAAAGCTGGAAATTACTATCTTATCCCCAAATTCATTCTTCTGATGAGAAAATGGAAGCTCAGAGAGAGGGGTGTAGTGGTCAGTGAGGGAAGCCCAGAGGACCCAGACAGTCCTGGCCTTCAGTGACACCCTGCACCCTGATTCTTTGTACTCTACGTAAAACACAGTGGGACACATGCCTTCACCTGCTACAGGTTTAGTTTTTCTTCACATAATTAATTCATAAATCCATTATACCCACCTCATCCCCATTGGAGCTAGCAAGGTAGCAGTTACTTTCTAATGAGCAGAGAGGGAACAAAAAGATCATGACTAATCAATCCTAGCCCCACAAACAAACAAAAATTTAACACTTTTTAAAAGAAAAAGAGCTGAATTTTGAAATGTAAACTCAAATTATGGAACTTTTAATTCCCAACAATATTCTATTAAGGAGGATTAACTGTCTTTAACACTTGGTGGAAGCCTGTTTTCAGGTATTTGCTGTTTGTTTTTGTAAGGACCTTTCCGTGTATGAAGGCTCTATGCAACCTGATGGCTTCTTTGAGCAAAATCTTCTGTCCATAAATTTAGGCCTCTTTTCTCTCTTCCTTTTCACAGAAGGTCATTAACATATTTATTCATTTATTTGTAAAATATTTATTGACCCCCTACTCTGTGTTCTGGACTGTAACCAGGTGCCAGAGTGGAATGGGCGCTTCCTGTTTCCTGCCCTCCGGAGGTGTATAATCCAGCTGGGAGCAGATGAGCCCAGGGCTGGTGGCACCCACAAAGCTCTGTGAGGAGCACAGAGAGCACTCAGGTGGAAGGCATTAACCCATGCACTACCAAGGGGTATATCCTTTAATTATTCTTTGCCAAAAAATGGAAAAACATCACTGTAGTTCTCCTTTCCGCAGCACAGAAATCTGCCATGTTGCAATGTGACACTGGGATGGAGAGGAAAGCAGTACAGAAAAAGAGTATGTAAGGCAAAAAGTAAAAGCAAAAATTGGAAAACCAAAGGTATAAGCAAAGTGCCTCAAAGCAAAGGAAGGACAGTTGACCACCAGATTTAAAAAATTAAAAATGGAAAGACCTTGTAGAGAAAGCCAGGAGGCACTTCCGGAGAAGCCTGGCTTGCAGACGGAGCGGAGGGTGCAGGCTGGGAGTCCTCAGTGGCCTTCTGCTCAGTGGCCAGCTCTGGCATCTCACTGGTGGGGCCTGGAAGAGCTGAGTTTTCAGTCTCCTCCTTGGACTCTGCACCTATAATTATTTCATGTTCTCCCTCCTCTTCATTGCTGGAAGCAGGCTCTATGATGACAGAAGGGATGACTTTCTCCTGGGGAAACAAAATGTTGCGGTCTGTTCTGGCCACCATGGCCACAAGAATATACCTAAGGAACTAACAGTAAAGGTAGAACAAGATCCCTACTGTACAGGACAGGCCCAACAAGCTAGCCCAATAATCACCGCCCCCCCTGAGTTCCCATAGAAAGAACAAACCAGTCACACTCTAGCCAAGCATAACCCCATTACTCATTATAAGACATTGTGTTTAAATTGTTCCTTTTGTGTTGCTAAAGGTCCCCCCTTGTTTCCTGTACCAAAAGCTGACAGCCTGACAAATTATTGGAAATCCCTTTACTGCAGTGCCTTTGTGGTTCCTGAGCATAACGTAAGAGAAGAACTAAGGGTCAGGGCTGCAGTTCGGCTCTTACATGGGTGAGACGCCGCAACTGTAGCCGCTGGTCAGCTAATAAAGGCTCCAAAATTCAAACACAAACTCTGGTGGTCTCTGTCGTGGGTCACCCCAGAACAGGTCCTTTGGAGGCAAGACATCTGCATCCTCCCTGTCACACTGTCCCTGGCTCCCAGTTTCCCCACCTCCCTCACTCAACTAAATGCCTGCTGTTCCCCAAACCCGATTTAGGATTTTTGGCCCTTGGGCCTTTCACCTCGCAGGACCTTTCTCCTTTCTATCTCTCCAGAGAGAAATACCCTTATAGGGGTTGATTTCTGGATCCCTGAACAATCTTCCAGTTTGGCAAGAGTAAGGTTTCTATGTAAACTGGGAGGATGGATAGGAGACTGCAGGGAGGGAGCGAAGGCATGGCGGGGTGGAGGAGAGAGTCCTGAAAGGAAATGCAGTCGGATTCCAAGGATGGACCCATTCTTGCAGTGGTCATTTCTTGTCCCGCTGAATGTTAACACTCACCTGAAGCTGACATTTAATCTCCTGTGACTGCTTGTCTCCCAGAGTCTCATGGGACTCCCACATAGCCTGAAACCACAGTTGGTAATGATGTGGCCCATGTTTGGAGATAATCTACCTGTCCTTTGCTTGTTAATTATCATTAGAGCCACACCACAGTCACAGTTCAAGGGATTACAACTCCCACCAACCACTCCAACACTCTATTGCCTAGGAAAGCAGAACCAAAGGATCCAGACTTCCCTCTTATGTTTTGACAAAGATGAGCAAGAAGGGAAATTTAACTCACATAATGAAAGTCTGGAGATATTTATTGCTTTTCAGATTAAGTTCTATATTCCCTCAGATATTGGTGAACATAAGTACTTCCATTCTTCAATTTGGAGAAAGTAATACACTCTTTCAACAAATATAACAATATATACAAAAATATCCCTGGCATGGTGACAAGAAAATATTATAATGAATAGAATATACTCTTGAGTTATTTCTCCAAACACCAATGCTACCTGCTGTTTTTCAAGTGGGATGAAAGGGGTAACTGAGTCTCAAACTTCTAGTAGCCTTGGAAGGATTTCTGGAAATTTATTATGAATATAATAATCAGAAAGATGGAAGGCATGACATCAAGCCCACTCTTCACCATTACCTTCTGGAATGTAGAAGACCCAAATCTGGGGTTTGGAAGAGCTACCCTTACTTGCACCAGGTTTGAGGCTTCCACAGTCACGGCACAGATGGCTGTGCTGCCTCTGAACTTCTCTAAGCAAGCAAGAGCTGGGACAAAGTCCCACGCATGCGTTTAACGACCCATTTTCCTTTTGAAAGTGCAACATAGGATGGGCTTTTGGTAAAAGGAGCCTAATTTGAGGTGAACTTGGAGGCACTCTAATAATAATAACCACCACGAAACAGTAATCATAGTAACATGATTTAACTACTAATACTGGGTTCTAGGCATGTGCCTGTGACCAGGCTAAGCACTTAATGGCTATTTTCTCACATAATCCACACAACCCTATTATACCATTCTATTCACTCTCTTCCCTCCATTCTCATCCTCTTTGTCGTCTATGCTACATTCCTGTTCTCCATCACTTTACTGCATAGTTTCCTTCACCTCTACTTGTGCTGAATTTAAGCCCAGTCCACCGTAGCCTGGGGGCTTGTGTGGAACCCCAGAATACTGACACTGAGAAAATGGTGTGACCATTGTTTCTGAGAATCTAATTTTTTTTCATGGAGCAGTATGCGACAAAATGGCTACAAACCTAGTCTACATCCGAGAGTTATCACCAGGAACAAACAGGCAGAGCATTCCAACCGGCGCCTCTCCCGAGAGCTTCCATTTCACCAGGACACTTACCTGAGGTGCTGCCGCTTCTGCTTTTTCTGGTTGCGATCTGTCACTGTCTGCGACCTCTGTGGTTTCAGTGTCAGTCTTGGGCTCCTCTGAACCTGCTCCTTCCCCAGTAGGAAGAGCTGCTTCCTTCTCTGTCTCTGCTTCCTCTGTTGGGGTCCCTTCCGCTGCCGACACCAATGTTCCAGAAGTCACATCAGCATCAGTTCCAGGTAGGATCTGCAAACCAGGAACCAAACAGGCTGTGTCTGTATCTCCAGGGCCTCAGTGAGAGTCAGACTTCTCTCCTCCCCTCTGCTAAGGCTCATCAGATTTCGAAGCTTTCTTTGTAATGTGCAAAGATTCAGGTACAGCAGTCTGCCATCTGCTCACCACAACTCTAACTCCTTTTTTCTTGGGTACCCACTCAGCTTTCCTTGCAGTTAGGTGTAGCAAATGGAATTTGACTGGAAGTAACAAATGCCAATCCTGTGACATGGCTTTCTGGGTGTGGGGAGTCCCCTCCACAAGCTATTTCAATTTTTGTTGCCTGAAAGCAGATAGCAATGTCCTAGAGGCACCTGAGTCACAAAATAGAAGGGGCCTGGCCCCAATAACTGGGTCATGGAACAAAGCTACATAAGAAAAGCCTCCTCACCATGCAAAGTCAGAATTTAGAAAAACTGCATTTCAGCATAAACTCTAAAATATTCATGGAGAAGGTCACAGAAGCTAAATCACATTTATGAAAAAAAGAAAAAAAATAGGGTGTTTTCTCATGAGATTTCTTGAGAATGAAAAAATATATATTTTTATTATCAAATATTCATTACAATCAAAAGTAAAATCCAACTTGGGAGTAGTATAATAGAGAAAGGGAAAATTTTGTTTCTAAGATTGGACCAGTCAAAAGAAGAACTTTTAGTGTTTAAAACTTGCAATAATGAAATAAAAAAAGTAAAATCAGAAATTTAATTTTGAACAAATTGGTTGTGGAGTCCAAGTCTTTAGCAAGACTATAACATCAGCTTGGCTGATTTGATTTGAGAGGTTCAAATCAGAAAGACTGAGAAAGAAGGAGAGTATTAGATTGATCTTATATAATATACCCAGGACACATATTTGAAAAATTGATCTTGCTGTCTGATATGATTAGCATTAGACATTCCTTTCAGTTATCAAATAAGTGCTACCCAGTTTGTCCTATTAAGTTAGGAAAGTCTGAATGTTGCAGATATTAACTGTCAAACCCGGAATATGAAAGGGGAGATGGAGAGTGCCTGCAGGATGGGCATCAGAAATGGGAGATGAAAAATGCAAACCATACCTACAGCTCACCGCAAAGCATTAAAAAAAAACCTTTCTTCTGACTTAAATTTATAGGTAATAGATTAAGTAAAAATAACCTGATACAGAATACATTACTATAATACAATATTTTACTTTGGGGATAAAAAATTATGTTGACAGCTATACTATTTGTTATATGGCCAAGAACTACTCACGTTCTTAGAAATTTACTTCCTTGTTTTATGAGACTCTCTTATGAGAATCTGGCTTTCCAAAGTGCGCAATGATCCTGTGATCCTATGTGTAGTCACTAGCCATGATGTAGCATTTATTTCTTTTTCTACCCTGTCATTAAAGTACATAGGTTCAGAAAGTAATCCTTTCACCTGAATTGTAATGTACTTATTTAAAGTGAAGTATAAATGTTGATAATTATTGAAGTAGGGTAACAGGTACATGGGGATTTCTATTTGATGAATGACTGAAAATTTCCATAATAAATGTTTATTTAAAATTTAAGAGAACTGCCCCTCTTGTTTTAAATAAACATTGACCTTTTTATGGATGTTATTGTTGCTGCTGAACATAAATTAGGAGGGTATCTTAATTCCAAGAAGAGCACTGACTGAACAATGCCTTGTAGTTTTGTTAGAGAAATCAATAAGCTGTCTTCAGGATCCTAAGGACCTAGCAAAGTTTCTTCTTGTCAGAATTTATACCTAAAGACAGTGCACATACAATGGGCTTATGGGCATAAATGCAAAAAGCAAGTTGTGTTGCCATAATTCTAAGTTATTTATGATTTCTATCTGTCTGGAAAATCACATTATGGAGTGACCATCCCACTGGTTTCCAAAGCTCCACACCAGATGGATTCCATGTACATGCAGCCGGTATGAACAGACAGACAGTGAATACCACCAGGTGCACACATACATGTTGTTACAGGTCAGAAAGCAGTCACCATGTTATTTAATAGACTATTCTTCCAAGTGACTATATATAAATCCTTCCATACATATACATCCCAAAACATACCATTAGTAATTGGAATTTATTCATAACTGAATTGATATAACTTCAGATAGAATATATTTCTGTGAAGCATTGATGGTGTTCTCAAAGATAATTTTTTAACTCTCTCCATACAAATAGAATGCTAATAATGAAATCCTACTTATCCCTAGCCTCTATATACCTATCAACTTGATCATATCAAATTTTACTATCGCAAGATATACGTGTTATCATCTTTCCTTTGCTAAATGGCTTAAACAGGCAAGAGTGGCTGGATCTGATTTAGACATAACAGTGTGGCAGCTGTGATGTTGGCCACCAGCAGGTGGAGGCCAAGTGCCTGTGCTCTGACTTTCCTTGACTTCACAGGAGCAAACTGCGGGTCACCAATTTACCCGATCCCTCCGTTCCTCCATCCCTCCATCCCTCTTTCTCTTTCTCTCTTTCTCTATCTCTTTTTCTCTTCCT